AGTGCCTGGACAAGAGCTAATGAGTTTAAATTGAGAACAGGGAGGTTTAGATTAGATATCAGGAAGAAGTTCTTCACGGAGAGGGTGGTGAGGCACTGGAACAGGTTGCCCAGAGAAGCTGTGGATGCCCCATCCCTGGAAGTGTCCAAGGCCAGGCTGGATGAGGCTTGGAGCAACCTGGTCTAGTGGAAGGGGTCCCTGCCCATGGCAGAGGGGTTGGAACTAGATGATCTTTAAGGTCCCTTCCAACCCAAACCGTTCTGTGATTCTAAGATGCAACTTCTTGTCCACATACTTTCAGAAGTGGATGGCTGAGTGAGCTGCACTCCCTTTTCCTTTTGATGTTTGCAGTTTCAGTGGCTATTATCTGATTCCTGATGCCATCTGCCACACATCCAGTGTAACAGAAGATGGATTTCTGCTCCATTAACTGAATCCTTCAATAAATTTCAGAGATATTCTACTTCCTGTGACCCCCCCAGCTAATTTGCTAGTTGGCTAGCTCACGTTTTTATACTCAGCAACTTAACCATAGTTTTGTGCTGTAATTACGCTAATGTAAAATGGCAGAAATCCTATCTGGAGCATACAGGCACCATCTACATAATGCATACGCCTGAAGCCAGCATATCTCTAGGCACCACCCCTCACAGTTGGCCTGCTTGGTCTAGAAGACAGTATCATCCGGGAACACGTGTTTTTAAGACTGTGTCATGTTACTGACACGGTCTTGGCCATTTTTTGTCATCTCCCCCGACCTTCAGAAATTATATTCTTAAAGTTCTCTGCTTCTATTCATTTTCTTCCTCAGCGCACTAAGGAGTTCACATCTGAATTTATGAGGATTATAGCCTTGAAAAGCAGCTACTGCAAAGTAATACTAAATCTGTAGTACCTCTACGGCTGTGTGTAAATGTGACTTAGTCTGATGCTCTCTTTGAATTTATTTATTAACGATGATTTACAAAGCATCAGTTATAAAGCAACCTGCCCACGACTGCATCAGAACCCACTGACATCGCTATGCAGTACGCTTCATTTTTATAGCGCCTGCAGGATCTCGGGAAGCTTAGCAAGCACTACCAGAGTTACAGTAGTTCTCATACCTTACTCACCCATACCACCAGGTTTTGTTTTCCAGGACATGTTAATAATCTTATTAATATTACTGCACTCTGCTATTCCTAAAAAAAACCATTGAAAAGTAAGCTGCGTAAGTGGGAGACTGAGTGACTTCCTCAAGGTTAAAAAGCAAGTTTGTAGCAGACTTAAAAATAGTATTTACAAACACTGACTCCCTCTCAGAGTGCTAGACATCACAGATTGCAGCCTGCTATAGATACCTCTCATGCATAAGAACTGATGACTTACTCCTGTGTAAACACTGGCGGTTTGGTGAAGGCTGAGAGTGACAACATGCGTCTTTTCCTCCAGAAAAAATGGTAAGCTTAGATAAATCTTTCTCCTCCTTCTCTTTTGCAGAAGCAGCATGTGAGCAGAACTTCAGCATTAAAGTGCAGCACGTATAGATATAGTTGTGCTGTCCTTCTGCGTTCTTACTACGTAAACGTATGAATGAAAGTTTCATGTGACAAGTGAAAAAGAAATGGGTTGGACTACCAAGTTATTTGAAGTACAATCTGCTGGCTGGGATGATGTTTTTTGTGTACTGCACAAAAAATGAAAGACATTCCTTTCTTCTGTAAACACTGCTTCTGAAATCCCTTTAGAGTATTTTGAAAATTGTGCCCGAAGTCTCTGCAACATTTTAAATCTGAAGTTCCTAAAGTAACAATAGGAGTTTGGCTTTTAAACTACTCAAGAATATTTTCCTGCTATTTATGAATAAACACTTTCTAAAAAAAACCCTCTATTCAGTCCTTCGTCCTGCTGCATCGGTGGGTGCCATCCATTCATCCACAGTGGAACAGCTCTGTCTGGAGCCAGGAATACAGCCCCTCTTCTTAACAGGAGAGGAAAAGCATATTTGTCATGATGATTACACTTCTCTTTAATCAGCTAGTCATCACACTGGAGAAGTTCTTTGCAATCTGGATGTATAAATCCCCTCCCATTTGTGTTTTATCTTTACAGCACAATTTTCTTCTGCAGACAACCGTTTTCATCTCACTATTATAAAAGTTAAGTAGCAGAAGCAACAATTCTTATTATTAATTTACAGTTTTTCTAATGCATGCTCATAAAAACCTACTAGAAAATTATGCAAAATGGAGAGAACAGAAGTCACTTTGCCTTTCTTGTATAAATTTGTGTTTCCTACGACTGGCATTCACACTTGCCTTGCGTGGAACTGCATGTTCTGGTAGCACCCTTTGTTTTGGGACAGCAGGTAATTTACAACCTAATCTGTTGTTTTAAGTAAACGTAAAATTTTGAAGTAGAGATCAAAAGATAGCTATATTCCCCATTTTGTGTTTTATTAACCTATAGCCCTGACAATGCATCTTGTAGCAGGGACAGCATGTTTGTGCACATACTGTAGCCTGCATCCTATGATCTGCACTGCTCAGAACTGTTGACCAACTGCTGTATCAGAGCCCTCAACTGTTTGGAGATTCCCTGAGCTTCCTCAAAAGCAGGGCATTTTCAAATAAGAGAAGGCTGGCTCTTTGATAAGCGTTTGGGCAATTCAAACTCAGTGGGACGAAATACAATCACAACTGTGATGGCTGGAGAGGACAGTGTACAATTCAGTGTGTCCTATCAGGCACAGGATCTATCTCCTTTAGCAATTTGTGCTGTGACTCTCTCCCAGTGGTTCACAACCAGCTGCAGAAGCTATGCTGCACAAACCCAGATTTGAAGAAAGAAAGTCAATGACCCCAGTGTGCCCGCTAAGACTGTGACCTTCTCTCTGTTCAGTCTCACACTGCTGCCGCTGCCTCGCTGGTAGCACCGCGTAACCAGGTGACAAAGCACCGTGAGGACACAGAGGGAGCAGACAAAGAAGCAGCACCACATGCTACATTGCACTTCATGCCTGCCTTTTCCATGACCGACAGCTGGCACAGTGGGAATTGCACATTTGGAGAGAGACAGAAAGCCAGCACTGTGGATGAAAGAGATGAGAAATAACTGACCACACTCTGTCTCATAGCCCTACCTGCCTACACCCATTTTCCTGAGAAACGAGGCACAGAAGGGAGGCAGTACTGCTCCCACTCCCTATCACCTTTGGCCTGCCTTATTACTTTGGTTACAATAATAAAATGAATTTCCTACTTGTGATTGTCAGCACTGAAATCTCTGCATTAGTCCACAGAGTCTTTTCCATATTTCAACACTGCAAATTCTGTACTACTCCTTTTATTTGAGTTGAACTACATTACTTGTCTTCATGATCAAACCCCATCATTTTCCACTGAGGAGACAGGCATCTGTCACTAACATGCTGATCATACTGGCCTGCTTATTTACTGCTTGTAAAGGATGAACGTAGATCACTTGAAAATCTTTTCCCATGTGGCCGCTAACAGAAGGGCTCCCTGTAAACATTCACAGAGCTCACAATCCTCCTTCAAACAGTCTTTATCAGATGCCATGACAACTTCTTCCTATGTTCAGGTCCCGTATATAGTTTTGGGGCAGAGGTAAGTTCACAGAATCACAGAACGGTTTGGGTTAGAAGGGACCTTAAAGATCATCCAGTTCCAACCCCCCTGCCGTGGGCAGGGACCCCTTCCACTAGACCAGGTTGCTCAAAGCCACATCCAGCCTGGCTTTGAACACTTCCAGGGATGGGGCATCCACAGCTTCTCTGGGTAACCTGTGCCAGTGCCTCACCACCCTCTCCGTGAAGAACTTCTTCCTGATATCTAATCCAAACCTCCCCACTTTCAATTTAAACCCGTTACCCCTTGTCTTTTCACTACAGGCCCTTGTAAAAAGTCCCCCCCAGCTTTCTTGTAGCCCCTTCAGGTACTGGAAGGCTGCAATAAGGTCTCCCTGGAGCCTTCTCTTCTCCAGGCTGAACAAGCCCAAACACAAGCGTTTGCCATTTAGAAAGTGGATCTGCAGTCCATTAATGCTTTAACAAATAATAAAAGCAAGGTCACCCAGGAGAGAAACTAGCAGTTAACTGGTCAACTGTGGTTGAAGTTAAGAAGATAAGAATCCCTGGTAAATTCAACACTACCCTCCTGTACCCTTTACAGTTCAAAGACAGGTGTAAACATGCTGCTGGAGAATCGTGACAAGCTCTGTGGGAGAAAAAAATATTCAAAATACGTCTGTGAAGTGCTCAAGGAAAAGGAGTGAAGGAATTTGAGACATAACAGTAAATACAGAACAGCACCCTAATAAGGAACGCATTTGCTCACTTTTTAGGCATTTAGTTAACTAAGCAAGAGACAGATATGATCTGTTCTACAGATTGACACTTTGAAGTGGGATTTAAAACAGTTTTAAAAGCACCTTAGGTGAAAAAAGTAAACATTCCACTGGACTCTAAAGGATGCCTCACTGCTCTGCTCAAGAACATCTTTTACATCTTTGCCTGACTATGCACACTTATTTTTCCTTCAGTCAAAAAATATTTTCACACCAGTCTGTGGTGCAAGGAAGGATAAAGCAACAGACCATGGTAAGATTGTGAATATCCATTCTCACATCTCAGACACTTCTTAAGCTCCCTGACCTATGAAACAGCAGGGTGACAGAAACCTAGCTACATCCTGAAACTGGCAAGAGTCTGAATTGTAAACAACACAGTGTGTATGAACAACATCATTTCATATGAGATGCTTTGTATACGTATTGTTCTTTGTGAGAAATTAAAAGAAGAGCCTTAATAGACTGTAACATATAATAGTCTATCTCATCATGTCAACTGCAGCCATCTTTTACTTCCACCTTGGAAGAAAAACCCAAAACATCTCAAGACACCAACCTCACTAACACCAAACCCAAGAAGAGCTGAAAGATGAATACGAACCATCGATTTTTAGACAGCAGTTGGATATTCACCCCCACCCCCATACCTTGAACGTGCTGCTTCCACTGCAAGTGCGAGTAAGTTGCCTTCTCCAGTAGCAGCACACTGTGTTAGAGCAGCGAGACATTGCTGGGCTGCTGCCTGATCTCTGCTAGCCTTCACCTACAGCCGAGGAGAAAAAGGTGAACTGGGAAGTTGAGGGTGTAAGGCTTTCTGATTTCAAATATTAATTCTGGAGACATGGAATTATCAGTATGTGCTATATATTGCAAGAAGATAAGAAGTAAAAAGGTGTCTCAGACCTTAAAAAATGTACAAGTCCTTCAAATAACTCTAACCCCATTTTACCTATATTTCTATTAATTACAAAAGTGGATGTTGATTTCTGGTTCCATAACCCTGTCACAGCACCTGACAAGCTGCACCAAATAGTCTCAGTGATTAAGTAATGTTACACACTTTTAGAGCAAAACAGTGCATAGCTATTTTCTATCTTATTTTCAGAAAATGGTGAAGTTCTCGATTTTGAAAGGTAAGGCATATTCACAGAACTATCCAAAATACAAATATTAAAACTAAATGATTGCAACAAAACCATTTTTGTTTAGATTCTAATATTGTGTTTCTTGGGATTTTCCATCAGCCTCCACTGAAGCTGGAGAGAAATCTGACTTGTCTGCTAAAGACTAGAGCAGATTCTCAGAAATTTGAGGGTCAAGTTTCTGGAAAGCCACGTTTACTCAAGTTCTATCTGCAATTACAACAAGTTTTATTTTTAAGAAAGTAGTTCCCACCTTATTAATCTTCTCGATCTGCCTGCTACGGACTGAAGTATTATCAATAGCCAGAACTTCGACTGTCTCCTCTTTTTCTAGCTGATGCTTGTTTACTCCAACAATTACTTCAGACCCTATTTCCAGTGGAAACACCAGAAACTCAGAATATATTTGCAAATTACTGTGAAAAGATACAATATTAACAGGACAAGAACATTTTGAGCATATATGTAGTGCTTTGTTTTATAACTATATACATTTCAAATACTTAAAATTTGTTCTTACAGGAAGGACTTTACTCTGTATTTTCCACATTTTATAAGGAGACATGATTAGATACAGGAACATTCAACACAGTGAGTACTGTGCCAGAGAAAAAGATTTGAAACAGAACAATACTTATTGTACAAACTGATGTAGAAATGACTCAGTAACATAAATTAGCTATTTTTCTCTTTCTAAGTTTACATAACTGAGTCCTATGGAATTAAGCAGAAGTGCTGGTCTCCTGCACTGCTCTGAGTTTACTTTTCTGATTTACTAGATAAATAAGGAAGTGAAGTTGCTACCTAAAACTACTCCATGTAAATAACAACGAATGTATCATGTTGAGAAACTGTATTTTAGCTTTCAGCCTGTATGGACTTCTATTTGCAGTGCGTGTTAACAATACTATACTCTTCAAAGCAACAGGAGGTAATTTACCTTGAGAGAGAAAACACAGAGCTTTATTGACTATTCGTTATTGGTCTTAATTAAAGACCAGCTTCTAATTTATCCTCCAAGCAAAACAAGTTCATATAATTTCTTTCATATTCGAGTTATCCCTATTTTCTGTTACTGCACTGCTACTGGAATGCAGCTTACAAAAAGCAGAATAGAGCTATAGGCACACATGTATACACACCTCCACCTATACTCACTATATGGGTACATATGCTTATATATATCACAAAGAAAAAGCTGCACCATCCTCTAATCGGAGATGACTGGTTTTTTCCTGGTCTTCAGGAAAAATGGGCAGCTCTGAAGTAAAACCAGGAAGTTGGCCAGATTGTACAATATCGCCATCTGCAGTTGCATGCAGATAAATTGTGGTCATGCAGTTAAATTCAGGAGTCAGTTTAAATATGCCATCAGAAATTAAGCGATTAGCTATTGAAGACCCAAAATAGTCAGTCTTAAGTATGTCAGGCAAGACTGTTTTCATACTGTTACTGTATTTCATACATATTATCTCTTTCCAGCTATCACTGACATAAAACCAAGATACTGCCACTTTATCACTCGCAATCTGCTACTCATAAACTAAGAAGAAAAAACTCAATGAAAATGTGTGTAAAAAATCTTTATACAAAGGTATTCTATTGTCAGTTTTCCCTTCTTTCATCTCCCTGCTACCTACCAGAGTCAATCCTAGCTTGTCTTCGGGCTGCACACTCTTCAATACGAAGTTTGGGAATCCCCTCAGCAACAGCTTTGGCCATTCCACCCATTTCTTCTATTTCCTCAATAAGCTGAGAAATGAAAAGGATTGAGAAAGTGAGTGGTAGAAAGGTTCACAAAACGAGTTTTGCAGTTGTACTGCCTTCCCAAATGTTATTGTATCTATATATACAATCCCATACTCTGAAAGTGTGTTTCCTATCCCCATGTCTCTGAGTACAGGTTTTGGTATAAACTTAGAGACATCTCAAACAAAAGAGCTTGTTTTTATTACCAAAACTCCATGAATTCAGAAACAGTGCATGGCATATTGTTCAACCAGTAACACCCATGGATGAAAAGGCTTGAAATCTGAGACCTTGACTCTGCACTGAATTCTGCCTGCCAACCAGCCCTTACGGTTACATGTATACAAATACAAATAAATTGAAAAAAAAGCCAGGGTCAGTTCTCCAATCCTGAAGAGAAGTGGAATGGCATGGTTCAGCTCTCATTCAGCTCCAAAACGTGGTGACCACATTCAAACTGCCTACTAAAAATGGCCATCAGACCACGCCTGGCACTGTCTAGAAGCATCCTAGTTGACAAGGACCTAAGAAACACGTCAGACAATATGTCTGTACAGTCCCAGACCAGTGTTTGGGCCTGTATTAGCTTATTAATTTGGGACTTGGCATAAGATCAATGATTTGCTGCAAAGGAGAATCACTGGGTTTAGCTGTAGGCTAGACGTGCAGGCATATATCTTCATGCAGGATCGTCACCAGAAAGACTACGCCTGCACAGTACGTTTCACATATAAGTAATGACTAGCAGCTAAAAACATTATTAAAAATAAAAAAAAAATCTGATCCAAACAGAAAAATTTCTCCTAAATTCTGCATACTACTCAAGTACAGCCAGACAACTGTCTGCCTACAATCTTGGCTATAAAACTTTGCTTTCAGTAATCCCTGAAGTCTCAAGCAGATCACCACAAGCATGAGTAGGCATGTAACTAAGTAGGTTGGTTTGACTCTTTCTTCCATTGAACCTTTTTTTCTTACACATAAAACAGAGAATCCAGCAGATTGTGAGTCTTCAGTGCGCAAGGGGCTTTGCAGGGCTTGATTATTTGTTCCACACTGGGGTATTTCCCTTTTGAAGTAGTCTACTAGAAGGCTGAAGTCTCTCTGTAAAGATACACTGTATTTTTCTAAAGTCCACTAGCAAAGAAACCACTGAAGCTTAAGTGTAAAATAATTCCTTCTTTCCAAGTTACCAACATATCAACTAGTCCCTTAAAAGACATTTCTGAAAACTCCTATACCTAAAATTTTCCCACAAAACATGAAAAGTTATGCAAACTGACCTTTAAAGCAGCTTCATAGACGTCGTTGGTGAGGCACTCCATGAGGTAAGACCCCCCCCAGGGGTCCGCCACTTTAGGAATACCCGACTCCTCTTGAATGATGATCTGCGTGTTCCGAGCAATGCGAGCACTCTTCACCGTAGGCAAACCCAAGGCTTCATCGAACGAATTAGTATGCAAAGACTGTGTACCTCCAAACACCGCAGCCATTGCTTCAATTGTAGTACGGATAACGTTGTTAAAGGGATCCTGGAAGGGAAAGGAGAGCTCTGAAGCTCAATTGGTCTGCCACGGGGCTGAGGCAGATTAGGCACACATATACCACTGCAATGAAATGAACGCAAGATTCCCAACAGAAACACTGTAATCATAACAGAAGCTGAACAAGAAAAGTCAGTAATAAGCATCCAATCAAACTGACATATCATCAGTATCTCAGACAAAAAGATTACTCCATAAAGAAAGCCAAAAATAGCAGCATATGAGTAAGAAAGCAAAGCCTGACTTATATTCAGCAGTGTTTCAAAGAACTTAAGGAATCCAAGTCGGAGAGGATGGAACAGGCAGTCCTGATGCCTTCCATCCTGGGATTCCAGAAGTCTCAGAGCAGGGACTAGCACACCTGGCAGACAGGTTACTAGTCACAATGTGTTTTGGAACTAAATGTGCTTAATATTTTTTTTAACGAGGTCGTTACACAAAGGTAGGAATTACTGCTAAAATTTTCTGGTGCTATAAAATTGAAAGATATCTATGGGATAACTGGGATATTAACCAAAACAAACAGATAATCTGGAGTACAAGGTATAGAAATAGATGTCCAGGGTCTGACTTGTGTTTTGAGATGGAGTCAAGATTCACACACTGCATCTGTTCATCTTATTTCATTTGACTATTGAGGGAACTTAACAGTAGCACAGATGTCATACCTAATTCTTGACATGCTTAGCTGGAATGTGTTGTATCCAAAATAATTAAGAGCTGCCAAAGCAATATGACCTTGAAGAAGGCAAAAAGAATCATGAGATCTGTGAATTGATTATTTTGCATAAAGAAATGGAATTAATATCACTATTTTACAAGGACACCCTACTTCTACCCACAATGGAGTCTATTTCTGGTTCAAGGATTTAATTGAAAAGTATCACAGAAAAATGTGTTTTAGATGAGGAAGAATGTAAACCCTAATTTAAGAGTGGTTACCTATCTAAAGGCAGGCCAGTGGAAAATATATTTGCACTCTGAAACCTATGAGAAGCAAACACTGGGCACTGAGGATCTATATTAAGACAATGTTTAGACAGGAGAAAACAGTTACCATCTATCCAGAAATATATTTACACTGAACACTGGGAGATGGTTTATCATATTTTTGGTAATATTAGTATTTTGCACTCATACAATACTTTTAATTGGAGGTCCTGCAAAGGCCACTGTTCAAAAAATGCAATTGGTTTAGTTATATTGAAAAATGTAAGTAAACAGTACATGTGCTCTCAAAAAAAGATTAAAACCAAGGCACAAAAACCAAGAAGTCTAATAACAAACAACAAAAATAACTCATATTGCATTAAACTGCTTGAAAGCAGGCCTTGGAATCAGGGCTAGTACCCAGCTCTGACCTCACTTGGGAAAATATGCAGTCCAATGATTCACTTTTGTGTTGTGACATGACGTAACTCAACGAGAAAAGCAGACAGTGCACGTTTCAAAAGAGCAGATAGCTGTAACCATTAGTTACTTCACTCATCAGCAGTGAGATGGGCATGAATTACTTTCTTGATTGCTCAAGCCAGTGATCTTGAGGAAAAAGGATACTCTACTTCCTTATTAATCTGCATTCTGAAAGGATAATTTACAGGACTCATCCAAGAGACCTTCATCCTGAATTAACATAAGCACCTCTCTGCAATTCTCTCTCTACTTAGCAGGTTGGTATCCTAGTCTCAATTCAGTATCCACAAGACTGAGAGAACACATGCTTAAGACAAGAATTCCAGACTGACAATGAAACCAGACAATGAAAAACTAGGCACTGAGACTCTGCCTATCACCATACTGGAATCCTTTTGTGAATAGTCTCAAGCTTTTAGTTTCTGCACTTTTACCTCAGCGCCACTGGGCAGTCCAGAATGCTGAGGTAGTTCATAAACCAGCAGTTTGGGAAGGAATGCTACTGGCCCTCACCAAGACTCTGTGTGTTACGTAAGCAAAAAGATGTATCAAATGCTAGTGTGCATATTTGTCAGACCGAGTAAGACAGGTTGTCTCCTTCAGAAAGCTGCATCTTTATGAGTCTAACCAGCAGCACCCTCGAAGATACATACCATGAGAACATATTCAAATGAGGAAGTTGACAAGAGTCCAATTTCTAACCTGCTCAGTGAGTGACCAGCCCGAAGTCTGACAATGAGCTCTCAGCAGAAGAGATTTGGGATCCTTGGGCTTAAACATTTTCTCTATCAAGTGAGCCCACAGTCGCCTCCCAGCTCTCAGCTTAGCTATTTCCATATAGAAGTTCATGCCAATTCCCCAGAAGAAGGAGAGCCTGAAATAAGAGCACATGAACAGGATTAAACATTAAACCGTTCTAGTAACTGTTTCAGTAAAGAAGTCCTTCAGCAAGGTCTCTGATTAATTTACTTTTACAGATCTAACCCAAACATAAGACGAGGGGAATGTTCCTGGACACTGATGCCAATTCCTACAGAATGAGACACATTTATGCCAATAAGGTGTCTTAGCCTGCAAACAAGGTAACTGAAGGCAAACTGCCAGCAACAGTGCTCCCTGGAACTGCTAAACTACCCCCAGGGACTGTCTTTGGAGAGCCCTGGGTCAAGCAGCATCTCAGCAAGTCACTAATAGAGACAGTGACACTCTAGTGCCAGAGAACGCCTTGGACACAATCAACTAGTGTAGTTATGCTCACAAACTCCTTATAATAACAAGACATTACATATTATAGGCATGCTTTCATCCTTTTCCTGCCGATTTTAATCACAATCCAAAGCAAACATCAGGTCAACACTTGATAGCCTATCAGGGAACAGACTGACTGATCTACTTTTTCCTACATCTGGCTTCTATGATTTATAAATGTGAACATAACCACAGTTAAAGCCAGTAAAACTCATTATGCTAAAGTACACTTTTTTAAACAGTGAATTAGCTGAAACAATTTCTCAAAGGCTCTTACAGATTCTCCATCACTAGAAAGTCTGAAAACAAGGCTGTATCTTTTGTTCCACGATGTACTTTGATTTTGCCACAGATCTTGGAAATAGGTGAATTCAGCTGACTCCTACAGTTTGAATGTGCTATGTGAACAAAACCTTTTGTTTTTTAGACTCATCGTATAGTTAGGGAATCTGTAAATCAACTAGACCACTGAAACTATGATTCTGTTTAGTTCGGCAGATACTATACAAAAATACCATAGTCTGCTTAAAAATAAACCTTATTTTTAGGAAATTTGCAACTGTAAATTGAACTATCTGAACTTTCCCTTGTTAAGCATTTTTTTCCCAAATATTCCAAAATAATACTAATGAAAAAAACCCAGTAATACTACAGCACGAAAGAATTACGAGAGCTCTCATTGCATTCTGCAGTCCTAAAGCTACAATTGGTTTAGATATCATAGAATCACAGAATGGTTTGGGTTGGAAGGAATGTTAAAGATCATCTAGTTCCAACCCCACTGCCATGGGCAGGGACACCTTCCACTAGACCAATATCTATATAACAGCTTAGGGATCTTCTTTCTGACCCAGAGACCAACTGTCACAACAGACCTTTGACAGTGCTTGGGCTTGTACAGATTTATTCAGTTTATTAGCTCAGATGTCATCTAAGTGTCTGTTGGACCAGACCCACTTTCCTGCCATTGAAACTGTGTAACAAAACCAAAACAAAGCCTAACTGCAATGTGAGCATTGCCAATATTGTTTGTATGTGTAAAAATACTAATATTTGCTATTAAACTCTGGAGGTTTAACCGAAAGTGAGTTTTATACTTGCAAATTTCTTCAGCTCACCTTGGTGCAAATTCATCAATGGTAAGGCCAGCTTTAAGGCCAGTCCTGCAGTACTCCAAGCCATCTGCTATAGTATAAGCTAATTCCAGAATGGCATCAGCTCCTGCCTCTTGCATATGGTACCCGCTGATTGAAATGGAATTGAATTTTGGCATATACTGCAAAAATACAAGACAACAAGGTATGACAGCAGAAGGGCAGATCAGATAATTGTTCTATCAACATTCACAGATAATCCATTCTCTGTAGGCTGCGAATACAACCCATCTCTGTCAAGCAGTGTTTGCAGGTGTTTACTTCACATGCTTTTAAGGTTTTGCTCCATTCATGGCGCTTACACTATAACCCCCCATGGTAAGCATCTTTCTCAATTACAGGCTGTGTGCCGTCTCTCCGATGAAAATACAACCAAGAAAACAACTGGTAGTACTGAACTTCCAGTAATCAGTTCAGGACTTTACTCTTTCCGTTACCCCCTCATGCTTAACTTGCTTCTTGCTTTCTATACAAAGAACAGCCTGTCCCTCGTCTCAGAGCTTCCTCCCATCGTTTCAGGCTTAGGCTCATTTTAATCTGACTCTGATTTGGACTGACTTAAAAATCTTAAATTTTATGCTGTAAGTGATTTGGGATGTTAACTCCTCCTGGCCCTTTCCACAACTGCATCGTTCTTCACTATGACAGATCTTTCTGCCTTCTGCTTTGTTCTCCAAAGTGCCCCATAAATAGTTAACCAGATGTAGTAACAGGAGTAAATACATTTAAACAATTAATACCTTTGAGGTGTACTGGAAGATGTCAGCAATAATCCGCATCGATGGCTCTGGAGGGAAAATGTATGTATTTCGGACCATAAACTCCTTCAAGATGTCATTTTGGATAGTCCCCGTCAGCTTGGCCTGAGGCACTCCCTGTTCTTCTCCAGTTACAATGAATGTTGCCAACACAGGAATGACTGCCCCGTTCATGGTCATAGAAACTGACATTTTCTCTAAAGGAATTCCATCAAAAAGGATTTTGGTGTCTTCCACTGTATCAATGGCAACTCCAGCCATTCCGACGTCTCCTCGAACTCGTGGATTGTCTGAATCATAACCACGGTGGGTGGCTAAATCAAAAGCAACAGATAATCCCTGCTGGCCAGCTAAATGAAAAAGAAAACAACAACAAAAAAAAAACCAACAAAGAGAGAGATTCAGAAGTGTTGAACAGACTTGCATTAGAACTGAATCTAAATTTCTTGATTTCATTTTGCATGATCCGATCTAGGCTTGGACGCCAAGACAATTTTTGATGTGCTGGTTTTAGTCAGGACAGAGCTAATTTTCTTCACAGCAGCTGGTATGAGGCTGTGCTTTGGATTTGCCCTGAGAAGACTACTAATAACATGTCATACTCAGTATATAAATTGGGGGTGGGCCGGAGGGCTATGTTACTTAGTTGTTGATGGGTTAGCTGGCTTTCTCAGTCACTCTCTTGCTTGGACTCCGCTGCCATCGCTCTCAGGCTCAGGCTCTTGGGCTCTCTGGCTCTGACTCTCGCTACTCAGGACCTGGTTGTGCATCAGTCAGCAGGTGGTGAGCTATTGTATCGTTGTTTTATTCTCCATTATTATTATTACATATTATTGCTAGTATTGGTAGCATTATTAATATCACTATTTTATTCATTTATATTCAATTATTAAATTGTTCTTATTTCAGCCCACGAGTTTCCTTGTCTTTTCCTCCAATTCTCCTCCTCCACTGGAGGAGGGGGGAAGGTGAGTGAGCGGCTGTGTGGTACTTAATTACTATCTGGGATTTAAAAATGACAGTCCTTACACAATGCTCCCCTCCCCAAACTTGTCCAAGGTCTTCCAGTCTTAAATTTTAAATGAAAAAGCTTTTAATTGAGAAAAAAAAAAAAGTTTCAATCTATTAAGAACAACTTTGCAGTAGTGGATTTAAAATGCGTAACTCAATAGTATATTATGATTACATTCCTGATGTTAGCTAAACAAATTGCTGCAAAGCACAATACTCCACAGAAATATTGGGAAAACTGCTCTCAAGTAATGAAAATACTAGTGCTTTTAGGAAGCTGGCATTACTAATACACCATGAATGACTTTATTCACATGTATTTATGAGTTAATTTAAAACTTAAGAGATAGAAACCCAAAATGTCAGAATGCACCAACACTAAGTTAGAACTTTTGCTAAGTAGCAAATTTAAACATTTTTTTCCACTACAATCTTCTCTCATGGACATAATCTCTCCAGATTGGACCCTGGGATGCAGCCAAATAATGTCTCTCCAAGCATTACGACAGAATAACTAAAAAAAGCACTTAACTCATTCATTTTTACACCTCAATAGCAAACTGAAGCAAAGGCAGCTTTTAGAAATTATCCAATTTCCCAGTCATAAAGAAATACAGTGCCACTGGGAAGATCCTATCAGAAACCAAAATCACAAGGCAGAATAATCACATCTGCCATGTAATTCACCAAATGAATGTTCCCCATTGCTTGGCAAGGCAATGTTCTTTCCCAAATCATCTGTCTTACCTTTAATATTGTCCTTGTAGAACTTATTGCTCTCCTCCACTGTACTGAAGCCAGCATATTGGCGGATAGTCCACGGCCTGTATGTGTACATGGTCGGGTAGGGTCCTCGAGTGAAAGGTTTCACCCCTGGCAGCTCCTCAGGGAGGTCTGTCGTGTCCCTTTTGGAGTATAAAGGCTTGATGTCGATGCCCTCTGGGGTGTGCCAAATTAAATCCTTTGGATTTTTGCCTTTCAGCTGCTTTTCAGCAAGGGCAGCCCACTCGGGGTGTAGTGGCTGCCCATGCACTGAACGCCATGCGAGCCGGCAGGCTGGAAGCTGTGCCAGGCATGTGCAGCGGTGGGGCCACAGGCGCAGGACAGCATCCCTGGCTCTTAGCATGTCTGTCCCACTGTTTGAAGAGTATGCACTACGCTGAAAAAAATAAAAGCAAGTTTCTTACATTATCGTATAAATCTGAAATGGGAGAAGTAAACATGGAGAGGTCAAGCAGTTTGCTAAAGCCAAAATAATTGCTCAGGAAAAAGCCAAGTATATTTATTCACTTACTCATTTGACAGACACTCCTTTCCCCTTGCCTTTCAACCAGACGATGCATAAAACAAGAGTTCAGGAAAATTTCTACATTTTCCTATAAGGAAAACATTCCTACAACTCATCTACATCCATATATGAAATGTGCAACTTACTTCAGTCCCTAAGCAGCACCACAATTTAACCGTCACTGAAAAGTAAATGTTATGCATGAACACGGCATGGTTAGCTACCTTCTCACCATCCCATCTATCTCTCCCTCAACTACAAATTCCTTATGTCAAAGAAGGATCTTTAACATCAGAGGCACTCTGAAAGAAGTGGACTGTCAGAAAACTGCTGACATGTCATGCATTTTGGAAAAGGTTGCATGGGTTGGATGAAAATCAAAGCTATAGCAAGAAAGAAAGGAGAAAAAAACCACTGTATGCAAGAACACAGGGTCCACACACGTTGCTGAGCTTGTCTCATCATGCATGAGATTGAGATGGTGGGTAAGTTCAGTAATTCTTGAAAGCTGTAAGCTCCTCTGCTTCTGTTCTCTGTACACTATTCCTGCACTTCCTCCTCAAGCCAAAAATGTTACAGCTTGGTTGCAAGGGTCAGTCACCTCCTCTCTGCCTCATCTCCTTCTCAAGTCCTTAGAATCACACACTTCCCCGACACCTCTATGAGAAAGTCTGCATAAAACTGGAAAGTGCCTCTATCACTGTTATGGTGCTGCAGCAACACGCTTCACACAAGTGCTTTAATAATATATGCGCGACGTGTGGCATGCACACAATCCAGCGAGCAAAAAGGAGCACTCAGTTCCCTGCAGAGACGTCATCTGCAGCCAGGATGGAAGGCAACCTCAGCCTCCCTGCTGCACGGGTCCCAGCGCGGCCCCCCCGGCCTCGCACCCCGAAGGAACCACAAAGATGGCCTGTCACCCTCCTCCACACCTCTCCCTCCACCCCTCACACCACAGCACCCACAGCCGGAGGGAGGCAGGGACCAGAATGCACCGTTTACCGGCCCGGCCTGGCCTGCGTAGCGCCGAACACCCAGGCCGCCCGCCCCCAACACGCCCACTCGGCGGCCAATAGGGACGGGAGACCGGAATAGAGCTGCCCTGGGACGTCCCGGCCCTACCCGCCCGAGGGCCGGGGTTACAGGACAGCCTGCGGTCGCGGTCGCTGTCGCTGTCCCTGTGCCAGTCTCCGTCCCGGCTGCCCCCCACTACCCGCTGTCAACCCCTCCGCCGTCCACCA